CGGAGACTGCGCCTACCTTATGAGCCCCAAGAAGGGCGAAACCGGTCGTGGGCTGTCGAAGAGTTTTCAGCAACATTTTGAGTAGTTTCCACTATAATCAGTTTAAATTATTTTAAATATAATACAACCACTGAAATACTTAAATATCAGTTTCTGAAAGATTCACCAACTGTTGGAATTCACACAGTAATGCATTAGACTAAGTAACGATGATTTCATCGCAACAAGCCTTTATTGCGAACTGATTCACCCTTTCGTCTGAAAGCATTCGGATTCGCCCGGGCTTCATTTAAGATGAAAAACTACTCAGTAATTTTAACCATGTTGTCCACTCAGTTCAACAAATGTTTCAACAGTTGAATTAATGTACAAAATTCACAATATCTTGTTTTAGTGATCTGGTGCTCGAAATGAGAAACCTAATAACGGTTTACGAACGTTTTTACTAGATGGTTCCATATGAGAGGGAATAGCCGATTGGTTCTGCCAGATATGTTTGTGACGTTCATTTCAGTGCCAATTTTACAAACGCATTAGTTGTGTTCGCGTGTACGGTGGAACTATGAACGGTTACCATTTGCGTCAGAACTTTTATATGCATGAGTGATTCAGTAGAATTTCAGCGCTACTCCTTTATGATGAAACACCGACCAAGCGACACTCCCTACATGCTCCAAAACTTCCTACAATGACCAAGAAATTCAACCATCCTCCTTCACGTCAACAGACAATGACCAGTCACAACTGATGTGAACCGATTGGCCTAAAGTTCCTGATTAATCGGAATAACATCAAATTATAAATGCACATATGAATGCCTCAGTTGAAGGCTACTTTATATTCACTTTGTCTCATGGAATACCCGGGTTATACAAGTCAATATCTGTTATCCCTTAAGCTAGTGTTCGGCCATGCGAAGGGTATCAACTAGGAATGTCATACTAAACGAGTGGAGACAAGTTGATTCGGAAAGCGTACGCGATGATGAAGTCAAACTGTCTCGGACAAACCCTGCATTTTGGTTTTCCTGTCACGACGGATTGACAATATTCCCCACAAATGGGTGTGCACTCAGTTGCCCCTTTTAACAGGGCTTTACTTCACTGGCAAGGTATTAGAAGGGCACTACCAAGACTGGTTAAAATAACTGCCATGATGTGATTTATTTTCTCATTTAGTGGTATGTAGCCATCGCATTTTTGGCGAACAGGCCCAGAATAAAGCTCAAATTAGATGCAGATATTGTTATCGGTTGCGCTCAGCGAGTACAGAACGATCAACAATTGCCTGTTCATGATGCTCAGTTATAGACACTAGACAGTATTCTCAGTTGTCGAAATCACCTAATATGTGCCTTTATTGGCTACCGATTTAAGCAGAAAGGTAGCATTTTCTTCGTACGCTGTAAATATTACATCCTGACTTTCTGGTAAGTTGGTCGTGATCTCATTCATTACATTGGTACCATTCACTCACTTTAGGACAAACACGTAGATCGGCTCAATCAAAAATCCGAAAAAGCAAAAATTGTTGGTGGATTTTGTGTGCAGGGAATGCCGGGGACTACTATAGGTTTTCCAGGAATAGGGCTTTGGTTGGGAGATTTCAAAGACACGGTCGCTGAAAGCTCTTGGATACATCAAGACCGGTTCTGCTCCACAAGGGCTCATAAGGTAGGTTCAGTCCTCAAGCTTCCGTCAGCCTTTTGTTCCACTTGCACCCAAATTATACGCAATTTGAGAAATACGCTAATTTGCAAAATACTTTGGTTTTAATGAGATATGCGATATGAGAGATATGAAATATATAAGAATACTATACAGGAAGGATTTAGATGGGATTCAGCTCAGTTTGCCTTTGGCATCAACTCAATAAATAAATGAGCGTATGTCACCAAGGATTGCGATTCTCTTGAGTCTTTTTCAAGAACAGATAATTAGGTAAAAATATGATCTAATCGTTACTTTCATCCGGAACATTACAAAGTGCACTAACAGAGATGAATGAATCTTACTTTAAGACCGGCAACAAAGGCGAGTTCGGAGGCAAGATGCACGGGTTGCAGTCCGTCTCTGTTAGATACCGTCAGTCTCGCCCCATTAGATATCAGAAGGTCTAAGATATCCACCCGACAGGCTCGGACAGCTAGATGCACGGGTGTGTTACCCAGCGCGTCAAGAGCGTTTACATCTAAAAGGGATTGGGAGAGATTGAAGTGAATACGATCTGTATGCATTGGAATAACCGTCTGACAAAGGCTTTTATCGACTGCAGTTTGCGGGATAACATTTAATAAGGTTAAGACCGCCTCGTAGATTTGTTTCATTGCAGGAATGTTGTTGTTAACTAATGTATCACTTGGCACATCCGAAGGATTAGGAGGTTTTCATACCGAGATTTCGCCGCTCATTTTACAAAGTCTACTTCAAAAAGGTAGAAGGGATTGAAGATGAGTTGAGATAGTCATCAGCTTACAAGTGCAGTTGAAACCAAACTCTTCACCGAATCCTTTTACAAAATTACAAACAGCGTCCATCAAAGCATGTACTGAAGTTTCATAGGCTGTGTTATATGGTCGGATGGATTTTCGGTCACACAAACCGAACTATATCGTCGTGTTACAATGTACAGCAAATAATTTTTTACAATAATGTCAAGGTCAAGTGATCATTTGGTGGTCCAACCACATATCGGCTTCGTTTACGTGTTCAGTTCGAATGTGGTGGGCACAGCAGTGCGAAAGAAGGGATTGAATATGAGTTGAGATAGTCATCAGCTTACAAGTGCAGTTGAAACCAAACTCTTCGCCGAATCCTTTTACAAAATTACAAACAGCGTCCATCAAAGCATGTATGGAAGTTTCATAGGCTGTGTTATATGGTCGAATGGGTTTTCGGTCACACAAACCGAATTATATCGTCGTGTTACAATGTACAGCAGATAATTTTTTACAATAATGTCAAGGTCAAGTGATCATTTGGTGGTTCAACCACATATCGGCTTCGTTCGCGTGTCCAGTTCGAATGTAGTGGGCACAGCAGTGCGAACTTTCGGGGCATGATTGACGGTCCTGAAAAAGAATAATTCTGTCAGTAGTGACCTGTGTCCGTTACTGACTTGACCCTGTTCTCCGCCCAAAATCCAGCAATCTATATGTGATCCGTCATTTAAATTAAGTATCAGAGGGAAGCACGCCAGTAATATGTCTTATCGGGACGTTGAATTTGGCGTCTTCCGACAGATCGTATAAAAGAAGTGGCTGCGACCACAGCGAATCGAATAATCTAAGAGAGCTGCTGACTTGAATTTCTGTCGCTCGAACCGTCGAGAAATCTTTATAAGACCAGATTCGAATAGTTGTGTGCCATTTTTTTTAGTTATGTGGCAAAACAAACCAGATTATATATTTCAAAGCTGATGGCATTTTGGAGTTGAACTACTTCCGTCCGATAAAGCACCATCCGCTCCTGTGCGCTGGACTGAGTTTCGGGACGGTCAGCAGTTCTTCAATCGAATGAGTTTAACTGTGTCTCTGATTCTCAGCTGATTACCTAACATAAGGAACAAATATTCCAAATCACAAAGCCGGGAATTTTTCGAAAATAGTTTCTAAAGTGATTTGATCGCTCTTTCGCTGTGAGTAAAAATAACTGTGTTGTTTTCGGCCTCAGTTGTTAATGAAATGTCGCCTACATATCTTTCCGGGTTTCGAGAGAATTTAAACAACTTTGGCTACAAGACTGTTAAGCCAAATATACTAACCAAAGCCCATCAACTCAGTGCCTAAAACCAGACCTCCACTTTGGTCCAGCTCATGAGTTTTATGCCATCTTATCCACACCTGTGGGGTACAGCCCTTGGGACGTTTGTTCAGAAAGCTTTCGGACCAAATGCCAGAATAATCACATTTTCTGTCAGATGGACTGCTCAAAGCCATTTAGTCGGTTACACTCAGTGTGTACAAACCTAAATTTGATAGACCTCATGCTGTCAGCAGCAGAACCCATTGTAGTTAAAATTTCGGAGCCTAACTTGTACGAACAGTGACATCGAATTCAAACACGCCCGTTGCCATGACCTTGGTAGGCGAAACACACGAGGACTATCAGACCAACTTTTACGTTTGAGATTTAGCTAAATTTTAGTAGTTAAAATTTCGGCACCTGGGAGGATTCATTGGGTGACCTTGGTAGGCGAAACACACGAGGACTCTCAGACCAACTTTTACGTCTGAGATTTAGCTAAATTTAAGTAGTTAAAATTTCGGCACCTGGGAGGACTCATTGGTAGCTGATTAGGGGACCGTTGATCTGCTCGGTGGGCTTCGCAAATGTTTCGTCATCATCTGGGGAGTCATCATTAGTGTGACATTTTAGATATGTTTATCAAGTGAGGCATGTGGTAACTTTGGTCAATTTCGAGTGACTGTTGTTTATTTGCTCCCAGCTGTGACTCAGATTTTATGATCGCGTTATCCAGTTGTAAAGTTGTTTCAAATGTGTAAGTGCCTAAGGCGAAAGTTTCGGGAAGGACTTTCTTCGTATTCTCTGTTTCTTAAGGGAACCCTTTTGGGGAACTATTTTATTTCGAGACGTTTTATGGTTGAGAAAAAAGAATCTGCAGTGGAGAAACATCACCATTATTTGAACGCGCTCAGTGTCCAGGTTGTCTTCCGGGGGGAACCCTTTTGGGGAACTATTTTATTTCAAGACGTTTTATGGTTGAGAAAAAAGAGTCTGCAGTAGAGAAACATCACAATTATTTGAACGTGCTCAGTGTCCAGGTTGTCTTCCGGAGGTCAGCAGTTCTTCAATCGAATGAGTTTAACTGTGTCTCTGATTCTCAGCTGATTACCTAACATAAGGAACAAATATTCCAAATCACAAAGCCGGGAATTTTTCGAAAATAGTTTCTAAAGTGATTTGATCGCTCTTTCGCTGTGAGTAAAAATAACTGTGTTGTTTTCGGCCTCAGTTGTTAATGAAATGTCGCCTACATATCTTTCCGGGTTTCGAGAGAATTTAAACAACTTTGGCTACAAGACTGTTAAGCCAAATATACTAACCAAAGCCCATCAACTCAGTGCCTAAAACCAGACCTCCACTTTGGTCCAGCTCATGAGTTTTATGCCATCTTATCCACACCTGTGGGGTACAGCCCTTGGGACGTTTGTTCAGAAAGCTTTCGGACCAAATGCCAGAATAATCACATTTTCTGTCAGATGGACTGCTCAAAGTCATTTAGTCGGTTACACTCAGTGTGTGCAAACCTAAATTTGATAGACCTCATGCTGTCAGCAGCAGAACCCATTGTAGTTAAAATTTCGGAGCCTAAATTGTACGAACAGTGACATCGAATTCAAACACGCCCGTTGCCATGACCTTGGTAGGCGAAACACACGAGGACTCTCAGACCAACTTTTACGTCTGAGATTTAGCTAAATTTAAGTAGTTAAAATTTCGGCACCTGGGAGGATTCATTGGGAGCTGATTAGGGGACCGTTGATCTGCTCGGTGGGCTTCGCAAATGTTTCGTCATCATCTGGGGAGTCATCATTAGTGTGACATTTTAGATATGTTTATCAAGTGAGGCATGTGGTAACTTTGGTCAATTTCGAGTGACTGTTGTTTATTTGCTCCCAGCTGTGACTCAGATTTTATGATCGCGTTATCCAGTTGTAAAGTTGTTTCAAATGTGTAAGTGCCTGAGGCGAAAGTTTCGGGAAGGACTTTCTTCGTATTCCCTGTTTCTTATGGGAACCCTTTTGGGGAACTATTTTATTTCGAGACGTTTTATGGTTGAGAAAAAAGAATCTGCAGTGGAGAAACATCACCATTATTTGAACGCGCTCAGTGTCCAGGTTGTCTTCCGGGATATTCTGGACGCTTGGATTACTGCATTAGGCGTAAGCACAGTAGGATTAAACAGGCTAATCGTCTCCTGCCTGGGTTGTTCAAAATTATTTGATTTGTTTTGTAGAATAGGCTACATTTAAGAATACATGTAAATTTGTTTTCTGCATACACAATTCCAATCAGGCATTTGGCGGTGGCGATCGGCTGAAATTTGTTCTCGTCTTCCGAAATACCGGCGTATTATTCCTTGAAGGAACACTGCTCATGAGGTTGTTGAGCCGGCTCTTGTACAACACAATTAGTTGAAGAATATCGCAAACGATGGCTTCAGTTGGGGCCCCGTTGGGTCTCCAGTTAAAACGAAGTTGGTATGCTGATGAGTATGTTTCATCAACTTATGTGCTTTGGTCCATGTAAACTGGCACTTTGTTGTACCAAGTGAATGGGCTATGAAACACTGTCCGCCGACTTATGATGACCTTTGGGTGAGTTAAATGTTCCAACGATATTAGAAATATCATAAAGAAGCAGCGAGAGATGACAGTCAGTTTTGAAGCGGAAAGCATACTAGCAAACATTATTTTGAAGTGACTTGTGGTGTATCCAAAGGGAATATCCACTCTGAATGGCAAACTCAGGAACAAGTCAGTTTTTGTGCCCTACGAAATAAAACGTTTCCTGTAGCTTGACGGTGTGTTTAAGAATTGATTCATCTCGGTAGGGATTTTCCAAGGACGTGTTTGTTTCGCAGTTTGCAAAACTAAGAAATTTTTGGGACGTTGGGTTGATTTTTCTGTTCCTTTTACAAAAAGCTGCAAAAATTTGAATATCATGCAGCCTGTTTGGCCTTTCTTTAGACTACCGTCAGCATTGGACCATCAATGTAGCTGAGTAGTCTAACATCAAGGGGCTGAAGACAACCACTGAAGTACACTCTATAGGCGGTAACGATATCAATTCGACCACTGATAATATCTTTCTAGCTAAGTTGTCCGGTTCAACAAACAGGCTTATGACCAGTGTTCTCGATCTCGCCCTGAAGTAAATAAAGCAGCCGACTGGACAGTCATAGGTCTCATCTTGATATGTTCCAATTTGACCATACAAATGTCAGCAAACAGCCGTCCTAACGAAAACCTCTTCAGATTGTCTATGAGCATTCACCACTTCACATGAATTCCAGTTCCACTGCCCATCTCAACTTTTGTGTCCGAGGATGACAAGTTCATTAGTATGACAGATGTATGCAATGGGATTCATCGTGAACATGAAGTCAATGTCAAGTGAGCAATTCAGTGTGACGTGGAGATTCGAGGATTTAACGATGCCCACGTATTATCATGGTGAGTTCAAATTATTCTTCCAATTTAATAAGTTGCGCAGATATGAATAGAGTTTTACTATTCCTGATTGCCGACCGAGACTCAGAAAAATATGTATTTTTGTTAGTTCTTTGTTTTTCAATTAACTTTAATTTCAAAACTAACTTACTGATAGTCAAGTCTCCATGTGGATGTAAGAAGGTTTGCTCAGTAAAAGAATCCATGATAATTACTTTTACGGGTAATTTTCAAAATCAGACTTTAATTCATCAGGATTGGTGATACACCGTTTCATTCCATTCCCAACTATGGCGCCAGTACAGAAGAACGTAATTGCAGCTTGGCAGGTAATCTGTATCCTGGATACGCGATTTAGTTGCAAGCTGACAAACAAAGATAAGTGCTATACATGATAGGGGTTTGTCTTTTTCGCACTTAATGCAATTTTCTTCATGCAAAGACAGTATCATGTCGTCATCTAACACTTTGACGGCACATTCATACTCCAAAAGCCTGGCTGGGTGCACCGCTTGGGGGCAGAAATAGGAGGGGAGCTAGAATCGTGACTGTGTTTGCTTCAAGTTTCCTCAAAATTACTGCAGATGTGAAAACTCAAGTAACATTATATGATGAGAGCAAATGAAAAGCTCTGAGCACGTCATCTGCTGTGAATTTTGCTCAAGTTCTGATGATTAACAGGCTTCCGTTGTTTTCTAACGTGATAGACGCGGAAGTGTCAGTCGTTCAGTGCGTCAAGTTCAGTAAGATACATATTGGGTGATCTCTGGCATCGCCAGCTCCAGTAAGAATACATTGACACCAATATATCTGACTAATGCGGATGGAAAAGTACACAATCATGAACTGAGAATTGCAAAATACACAGAGAATGAGCAATAAGAAACACTTGAGTTGGACAAACCATTTGCTGCGGGTGTTTTAACGATGCCCTAATATTGTCCTTCAACTTGGCACAGCATCCGTTGCACACCTGCCTAACAGTTTAACAGCTGATGCTTGTCAGAGCCATGAATGGCTCCATGCGTGATCTGCACAATGGATCAGGCGTTAATATCTTCAGGATAGCCAGAAGGCATAGTTGTAAACTGATGTAACATAGCAAAGGCTGTTCTGCAGTCTTGAAATAGGAGGCTCGATTGCACAGAAAGGAACCACCGAACTCGTTCTCGCGTACACTTGACTTGCCGAAGACTTCTGCATATGACAATTGACACTAGCCGTCTCATAGTCAGAAAATCATTTGTAAATCATGAACTGAGGGTTGACATACTGATTAACTTTGCTACTGTGGAGTTTGCGAGTTCCCTATCCCACTTGGTTCGAACTCGGAAAATGAGAATACTGGTGTGAAAAAGTAGGATGAAAAGCTGAATTACCGCCTTATTCCGACTGCTCGACGAGCGGAAGAAACGACCGATAAATGGTATATGAAAGCACTCCCCTGTATCAGGTATTCCAAGCATGAAGTATTTGTTAATTTAGCAACCAGCCAATTAAGCATGGGAATAACCCTCAGATTTTAATTTAGTTTGCGTTTTTACATTGACAACAGTTAACAGTTAACAGTATAATAAAACGACCGATAAATGGTATATGAAAGCACTCCCCTGTATCAGGTATTCCAAGCATGAAGTATTTGTTAATTTAGCAACCAGCCAATTAAGCATGGGAATAACCCTCAGATTTTAATTTAGTTTGCGTTTTTACATTGACAACAGTTAACAGTTAACAGTTATAATAAAAATGAATAGTTTCTTAGAGCGGGGAGGAAGTAAGTATGTAGGCGCACCTAATACATGTTAACATGACACCGAAGTGGACTCTGTTGGTGGTTTAGTATTCTTTATACAGGACCAAGAAACCATTGGGTTAACTGTACTCATCGACAGAAGCGGTTACAATCATAAACCTTCGCGGTCTTTCCATTTTCGCGCCATATAAGCTGGTGGATCGACAGGTAGTATCGAACATCCAGACGATCCAAGTTTTTCATTTGTTCTAGATGGGTAAGTGGAGACATTTTCATCCATGTATGTGTGCCATATGTTGAAAACATGTGTGATACCTCATAGGACGTGATAGGCTTCATTAAATCACCACTCATCAAAGAAAGAAAAAACCTTTTACGGGAGTTACTGCTTTGCAGAGAATGTAAATGGCTTGATTCTGTCATTCTAATACAACATCCAACCATGAAGTGCGTCACACCCGACGGGTTAAGCAAGCTGTGAGGTTTCTGAGGATCGGCGACATCAATATGTGCACGTTTTTAGTAGTTTTGTAAGTAGCATAAATAAAATTGAGAATTTGCTGAGAAAAAATAGCTGGGGAAATACTCAACTACGCGGTTGAAATGGTTCACTTTCAGTCCGATTTTGTATCGACATAAGCAGTTTCTGATATGATATGCGATGCGACAACACGTGCTCACGCCAAAGATTGTATTGAAAGCTAATCACCCGAACCTGACGATAATCTGTACTTGGTAAATCCAAGCAACAGAAAAACAAATTTTTCAATAAGTCGGGTCAACATTCTGCAAAAAACGGAGCGATTAAATAGGTCAATTTCGAGGTAATGATAAGTGTTAATTAAATGCCACTACTGACCTATGAAGGGTAGGACTTGCAGTCCTGAATGCGGAAATTCGTAACACATTGGGGAACGATTTAGATATTGAGAAGGCCTTAAATGGAACGAAGAATTATCAGATGCCTATGAACGGGAATTATGAGCGTCTGACTGCAACAATAAACTGTAGAGCATGAATTGGTAAATAACGCATGCACATTGTGTCAAGTTAAAGCAAGTTTTCCGTGGGAAATTCTACTGGAGGGAAGGGCCAAGCGACCATATATGTGTGAAGTTGGCTAGGACCGAATAAGATGCACGATATGACAAACTAGGGTGCATTAAACAATTTTTGTCTTGTCTTGCGTCTCTAATGTGAGGAAGATGGGCCTCATTGCAGGCGGTCATTGGAGTAGAGTTGATGCTGACTTTATGATCATACTGTCACTGGACAGGATGCGGTACAAACATTTCTCTCTGGATTAAAATGAGTCTTCACAGCGAAATTTATTCCTTAATGAGCTGGCAGCAAATTTTCACCCAAAATGATACTTTTACTAACATATGCCTAGAATATGTTCGTCGAAGAACATTTTAAAGGCTTCCATACTCTGTCTGCTTTTTGGAGGAATAAACATCACTTGCCATAGGGATGCGGACGAAAATTGTTTAGTCTGCTTTAAGCTAAGCAGAAAAGTATAAGAGTAATACATTACTCTTACTGAAAACACTCCGGCGGTCCATGACCGGTTTCGTCCTTCTTGGGGCTTATCAAGTAGGCACGGTCCTCGGATGTCCGTCACACTTACATTCCACTTGGACTCAGACTGCACAAAATTCGAAGTATACACTCAACTGTGTGTTGTAAACCTGAGAACATCATATATGAAGGATTCGGCTGGGTGCTAGGCGAGTCTCCCGTCGAAACTAAATTGGTATGCAGACGAGTATATAAATCAAAGAGCGAGTATTCTTCAATTTGAGCAATAACAGCAGAACGACCTCTCGATGAGTGACCGTCCAACTGACGTCTGTCTTTTTGTGGGGCAGATTAAACGTTATTTGTCAAACGGACGAATGTTTAAGTTAGTATTGAGGCTGACTGACGTATGCGAACATGCACTGTAGAATAAAATGCGTGGACGTTTAGAAGAGCCGGTCACACAGCGAATGAGAAGCCAACAGATGCTTGCTACAGGTGTCATCACCTCAGAATTCACCACATATCCAAGGGACGGTACGACTTCCTTCGTGGGTCCGGACAGCATTTTTGAACTGGCAAACGGGCTTCTTGAGATGGCAGGGCCTTATGTTTTTTTAAAGTAACCAAGGCCAAATATCACCATTCACGGGTAATAATACGGTGTCCGAAAATGAAGGCTGCGATAAAGTGCATGAAAGTTCGATGCATGTAGGGCTGCGGAAAGCAGTTGCAGGTTAGGTAGACCATTGGTCTCAAGAGAATTGAGGTAGAATACGTCACATGATACCATATCAAACCTTATGGTATACCTAAAACTAAACTACGGATTACACTTTGCCTATCAACTGGCCTAGTAAATGTAATGGCAGAAATAAACCTCTTCGTAAGAAGTGTTCATACTTCCTGGACCTCGCCCCCTGTTGGCCCATTTGTAAGCCATCAAAGCAACCTTTTCGGGGAAAGTAATACCTCACGACAGTTCATCGACATGGGTATGAGCATACATCACAGGATCCCCAAACTAAGTCAACATCCTTAGCAGTTGACTAACATGTGAGAGCTACTACAGAATGACTTATTCACAAAGAAATACTTATAGTGTAACGGTGGGTACTATTGATGAGGCATGCAAGCAGTATGTTTTCCCGTAGGTCCGCTTCGCGTCTATTGAAAAGTAAGACCTATTACGGAATTTGTGGAATGGCTTTGTAGCATTCGTTTATATTTGGGTAACAGTCGAAGAATATCCAGGAAACTTCAGGTAGGCGCGTTTGAGAAGAAGACGGATATTCGTTTTTTATAAACACGATGCATATGAACAGTAGTCAGTAACTGTTGAGTTGGTGTTTTCTAATGAACAACGTCACAAAAAAGACCTCCCTCGGTTCAACAGTGATTATTGAACTATTGGTTTTCGGGAAAAATCATAAAAATCATCGGTTCACAAAAAGGACCGTCCACACGATGCCATAAAAATTACTAGGTGACAGATCTCTGAGTGGAAAACATTTGCAGTTGGAGGGGAGTCGTCAGGTGGAAGGAAGAATAATACTGTGGACCATACATCACTGTTTTCTATAAGTGCGCTATGCTTTTACATCTGCCAAAGAGGCCTCAAGTTTAATCAAAAAACAATATTTACTGCAATCTGGAAAGGCGTAGAGCAGCACTTACCAGCACCTCTTGAAAGCAACATGTTCACCAACTCCGGTCTCCCTTTCTCAATGCTACAGTGCAAAAGACTCGAACCGGAAGGATCCTGAGCTTTGAGCAAATCTGGAAATTCGAACAGCATGTCGAACAGGTCGCCCGAATTACCCATTGCCACGCACTGTGCAGAAGACGAAAAAATATTTGTTGACGAAAGACATTCCTTTGCAGATTTGGTTTTAACGGTGTCTTCCAAACGGATACACCACATGAATGTCACTTCTTACTTCAGTTTGTACGACGTTCGAGATACTGTGCTATATGTTCTTGACGGAATAAGCTACTCATAAGGTTGCTGACAGCTACTGGACGGCCCACGACCGGTTTCGCTTTTCTTGTAGCACATTTGCCTAGTTTTCGTCAACCTTGTGTTCTAATTCAGCATCAAACTGGACGCAGTTAGCAAAGTGTATTTATTTTCAAAGTAACTTTGTATAAATAGGAGATTCATTTGAATTCCAGAAGGGTTTGTGAAGAGTAAAAACGGTCGTTAACTGTCGAAGAGTTTTTCAACAACCTTATCCGTAGCATGGGCTGTCGAGAAAATTGCTTGTCATTAGGCTGTGGCACACTTTTGTTGTACGGCTGCCGTAAACATCAAAGAAAGCACAGGCGTTGACAACTATCTAGGCGCGACTTAAAACAAAGCTCCACTTAAACTATCGTCCAGCTAATGAGCAAGTTTGACCTGTAAATATAGCTCCAACAATTCCGTAGGGGAATGAAGGATTAGGGACCTGACTCCAGTGTAACTCGGAGCCAAATGATCTCTCAGATAGTATTAAATTATGAATTTTTTCTACCAACTTACGCTTCTTGGCATACACGGTGGTAACTACATTGCAACGAGGAAAACATATGGGTCGTTCAACTAGGGGACTAACTGTGCGAACACAACGAAACTGAGGATATCAAATGCCAAATGTCTGAGAATGGTTAACGGGGACCATACCTGGAACAACCTGGAGTCTTGTTGTATTGACATACCACACCCTCATCTATGGAGTGGTGGGATGGTGCTGACTAATGGTTAGTTCCGGTCTCTTGATGAATCCTTACTGCACTGTTAAGCCCTAAATAAGGCATACGTGGGAAGGAAGGTTTTTCCTGGGAAGGCACTCTTATCACAAGAGTTCCATGATAAGGTTTGGTCAGAGGTCCCTTTTTGGTAACATTTAAGGGTGACACTTCTTAGAAAGACTTTTTTGTTGAGGGTAATGCGGCCTTCCAACTCTTTTGCTTCATATATCCTTTGGAAATATGAAAAATCACATGCGTGTTGAGTTACTCAAATAAACATATTAAACACACCTACAGACAGAAAAACCCCAGTAGTACGTACACAACAAATATGTCGTTTACGCGCACCGTTTTATTTGCGTTCTATTTCTTGAGATTTCGCTTCTACATTTCATGCCATACACACATGTTAAGCAGTCAGTCAGGATGAAGCCTGCTGCCGGGGACAGAGCGTCAACTGATGGGAACGCAGATTTCTGAGGAGGCATTGCTCTCACAATGAAGCCCTGAATCCCACGTGAACATCTTTCATCATTTAGATCAATACATCGGTTTTACTAGTGGTGCCTAACCACCACAGGATCATGGAAGGAAATTTCGCAAGCCACGATATGCTTGTCAAGGGATCAATGGTAGCTGTAATTTAAACGAAATGAACCGCTCCACAAACTCTATTAGCAGTTCTGCTTCACACCCTATTTCAATTCATCTCCGACCTAACGCTGTTTGTGACTATCCCCAAATAACTGCCATCTTTGTTCACCTGTGCCATTCGAATAAGTTGATTCAGCTGTGCACAAAAACCTTTCATTTACTTTTAAGGTGCATGCGCGCTAAATTCTCATTTCAAACGATCAGTATGTAAGAAGACTGATCTAGCCAGCGATATACTGCTGTGTCCATACTGTTCATATTTTGGATCGGGGTATTATTGCTATCTCCGACATCTAATTCTAGACCAAGCCCGTGGCTACCTTAGTCTTGAACAGAAAATAGCGCTTTCAACATTTGGGCAGAATAACTAAAGTGACACTCACAGCTTAAGCATTTTCCGTTTGTTATGTCCAACGAGTACAGGGGACTAAAACACCTCTTAAAAACGGCTGCGACAACCCGTCTTCTAAGAGTATATTTCGGGAATCATATTTCTTGTTACTATAACTTTGTTTTTATAGCAAACGGAAAAAACATGTCTGTATTTCAATACCTGAAAACAGTGACAACTTATACGATTATCCTCGTAGCTGACATGACATTCACCCTTAGTGGAAGAAGCACGAGTGTTCTTGTGAGTCGCACTTTCTGCAAGCTAGTCGTTGATCACAAATAAAGAAAATGATCTTCAGAATACATATTGATCGTTTATATCTCAGGTTTGAACTTTGGTACGTTCCTAAAACATCCAAAATAGGTCTTTATAACGGGCCGTATGGTAGCGGCGGATGACACAGAGTTCAATAGGGCCACTTCTAGAAAAGAAAAGTGGGGAAGCCAACCGAATATTTCCAAAACAACCATATGTGAGCAAATCAACCTTCAAATAAGAGTGAGTCGATGCAGCACAATGCCCGATCATTTGAAGCCTAGATCAACAAAGGGAGAAAAAGTTGTCTTAGATTTGTGCTTTGCTAAAGATCGTCTGCTGGGTGCTTTTTCTTAACTGACGCAGTAACTAGTCCGTCAAATAGGTCAAAACTGACGTAGAGTTACATGTAATATCAACCAACACTTTTCTTAATATCGTGTTCTCTTTCGCACAATTATCTCACTCTGATTCGACCTCTAATCATCAAAAGACTTGGGTTACTTGACCTATTTGCATGTCATCTGGAGGTTTTTTTGTAGGGAGTCACAGAGAAACGATCGACTTAGTAATTAATTTTAAGCGTCAAACAAGACCAAAGGCAATGTAAGGCTATACAGTGGATATTGGACTGTCATATGATGACCTACCTGGAATGCAAGAGCCACATCATTCTGATGTATTGGATCATGTACGAATGCGTGCTTGTGACGAATCGAATGCCTTTCATGAAACTTGACTGATTTATCTGCGGCAGAATCTATTCCTTTTTCTTCATAACGTGCGCGCTGCGTCACTTCTTTATGAAGCTGTAGCAAAACATGACTTAGATAGTCACGAATTTTGAGAAATTGTAGCTCCTCTGGGAGCGGATCATGACGTTCTCCAGTGGACGATCTCCTGCTGTCGATATTTGAGGAGCTTTGTTCAGATTCATGGTCTTCTAGACTTGGACATAGTGGAAACCCAAGGGATGAGGCCATGTACGCTTGCGCACCCTTATCCATGCTAGCCCCGTCTCAGAGAGCTGCACCAAACTTAAATCGCCCGGGACTGCTGATCAACAAAACACTCGGGGATAAACGTTTTGAAATGCTGGTCTTTATATAGCAGCTCGTAGACCGCTTTGTCTTTTTTTAAACAAAAAGCAAACAAGCCTGTCTCACGACTGAGCTTTTAGGATAATCAAGATACGGCTGCACAACACTAATGGTTCAGTCTTTAAAGCGAATGACAGCCAAAGATGATTACGTGATAAGGCCAGGTACATTCTGTCCAATTTGTCGCATGCATATGGTAGCTGCACAGACAAACTACTGGTCACTCTAGTAACATCCTGTGACGACGAGAAATGCCAGGGTAATGATTTTGCCCTGACATTTGTGCCACAACGACAAAATATCCCATTGCATTTACCATGGGCAACAGATTTTCCAGAACCAGAAATGGGCGGCTGTTTGAGCAAACGCTCTTCGAAAAAAAGTATCGAAGAAATATGGGTGAATTCAAGAGGCGAACGTTCTAGAAATGAGGATGTGGCTATTTCTCACAGGAACTCAACCAAATGTAGTGCAGACATGTGGCGCTCTGGGACTTTAGATTCCTACTTATGGTTTTATGACGAATGTTTTTTAGCTGAGCTGGCGCAAACCTTATTTCAGGTCAATCGTTTGCTGTCTGATTCCTTCTTGATTTTTCACATTCGGATTCAGCACGTTGACCTTGCGTGACTCTTGCAATGATCGGGACATTGAGGTACCGCGCAAATACTCAAAGGACAGCCCCTTGGGATTTATGTGGAGCATAGGGAGATTTATGGGATTCAGAATAGACAAATACCAAATTTCGATATCCCGAGATATGTTTGATGAATCTGGGGATCATATGTACATCTGCTGTGTAGTTCACGCCACTTAGTCGTTTGGATAGTTGTTCGCTGCTTCGAAATCTACCTTAACACAACTACCTACGAGAAACCAGAAAGCAAAACTACATTGGAAGATAAGTTTGTATTGCGATAGGAATATACGAGGAGGGGTTTGTGGAAACATTTACACAAGCCGATAGCCGTTTGTGTGCTCCTGAAGAAAAGACGCATGTCCAAACGAGGATTCGAACCTACACATGGGCTCGCACACAATTTGTCTCCCATAGGCCTGATGTGACTGTGCCATGGTGCATACAGTCTACCTATTGACAATGGCCCTTCGGACTGTACAAAAGTTAGGCTGCATCTTCTATATGGCTAAATGCAGTATGCGCTGGTGTCTTTCATATGGATCATTCACAAAACACCAGCACACAATACTAACTGCTGCTGTCTTCACAACCAAGTGTTCAGAGACAAGGCAGACGAGAGACAATGTCCATATGAAAAATATGAGACCTGCTGTCCTACTGTCAAAGAGTCTTCAGCAACCTTATGAGTACTGTGTTTGCTCGATCCACGTTCACGCATTTTGCATCTACCCCAAAAGAAGTGTGAATATGATAGGAGTAGGTCCAAGAAAACCTATCTACTGAGCACTGATTTGAGTTGTTCGACAATCAATTGTGCACAAAAATTGACTGAAGGTACACCAGAAATGATAGCAGATGTGGCATTAAATAAACCATGACGTACAATTCCAGTTTAGTACATATATGTAAAGCTGGCATGACTACAAATTTATTTCCCGCTAAAATTATTGTTTTATGAATTGCTTCCTCACCCAACAAGTGGTCCTATAGGAAGTAAAATATCAAATTCGATTATTTAGAAGCTCTTAGATGATCTGACCAAAGTCATCCCGTTCTTTGGCACACTTTTTTTGCACTAAAAGTGTAAGGCCATGTTTCTGGACATGCTGTCACTGAGCACGCCATTTGCAATCCATGGAGAGGTATTGGAAGTGGTGGAGAGTTTTGGGGATTTGGAAGTCGTATTAGTTTGGACTGTAGTGTGACAGATGAGGTCAACACGCAAATCTGCAAGGCTCGGGTGTCGTTTGTTAATTTGAGACCCTTGTGTTGACAAAGTGGTGTGTCCCTGAATCTTAAAGGACGTGTGTGTCAGGCTATAGTGTGGGCTGTTTTGTTATATAACTGTGAGGCCTTGCCTGTTCAAGCAGCTGAACTGAGACGTCTTCAGATGTTCGACAATTGTTGTTTACGACCATAGCTCGTGTGGGTGGATGTCGGCGTGTCCGTAACGAAGCAATAAGAAAGCGAGCTTTCGGTTGTGCAGTGGAGACTTCCATCAAAGTGTGTTTCTAGCACAAAAAGCTGTGTTGGTTAGGTCGCGTTTGCCGAAGAGAGTGCCGTTTTCCGTGCCAAATACAGAATAGCAGAAACACAGATGTTACCAGTCCGTGACCTGGCGGGAAGGTATAAAAGAGATTAAGAAACACACTCATCTGCAAATCAATTTGGTTTCCACGGGAGACTCAATTGAATCTCTCGTTTATGATGTTCTCCAGCTGAATGTGCTGCACACAGGCCGCCTCATGATTCAGTTGGCACGATATTCGAGATATCGAAGTATATTT